CAAAAATGAACACAAGCGTAAATTATACTGGGGATGTCGTATGCGGTCATGCACTTCACACATAGACAGTTAGGCGCACTCACTCCTGGGCTCTTTCTAAGGTTGTACAAACGTATATCGGACCACACCTTGAAGTGCATAATATTATTGCACCACCACTGCTTAGAAGAGACGCCAACCTCTTGAAAAGTGTCTAATGACAGGTGACAAAAGGACTGGTTAGTCTCTGAAATAAACCACATGATGAAAGGCTAAATAAATTGAGCCTATTCACACTTAACTACCGTCGGCTCAGGGGGGATTTAATTACTGCCTACAAAAAAATGACCAGAATCACCCAAACGAAGGTGTTCAGCCACTAAGTAGGAATAGGTTCCTCGTGGAAATCCCAGAAGGATGGCTCACCAGAGGACGAGGAGTCAGGTGAGCTCCCACTTCTTTTTACTACGGGTTTACCGTCCCTGGAACTCCTTAACTCCCAGATGTAGCCTTGGCACCATCTGTGGACACTCTTAAGCAAAGGCCGGATAATCATGCAGCGACACAAGGAATGCGTCCAAATGGCCTATCCCCTTAAAATTCCATACACCATTCAGGGGTAGACAACCAAGTTCGTCGTTTTACTTCTTTGCAATCTCTCTCGTCTTACTCTCCTGACAACTCTAACTACCACGCTTATTACTATTACTCATATTATATATGTATATCAACTTCAAATTTAATCAGCTGTCTGTTGTTGCGTTTTCTTTATTTCTTTTTCTATCGTTTAGTTTAAATAACCACTAATTATATCTATTATCTCTTTTTCTGTCGCACATACTGGAGGACTAACTGGTGAAAGGGTCAAGTCCATTCACAGTAGTAACAGTCTTAACACACCGCATACAACAAACAACATAATTAATCTGAAGCAATACTTCTTTTGGAGTCTACCAACAGTCGACAGTCGAGTGGCGGGACGAACTACGCAGAAGTTTACCGAAGATCAGGAACCTATACCTCACAATCAAGAGGCAGGCACAAGGAAATCAAATCGGTTTGTAGCAGCTCGCAGAAACGATAATGGATATTGGAATCCCGTCAGCCTCGATCTGAGCATTCCCAATAATACGACAGTAACCGAATATCTGTTATTCCTCAAAGAAATCACTAGCACGGCAAAAGCCAAAGAACCTTCTGTCAAGGCCTCGAAGAAAGCGCATTCTGGGCGAGCCGTGAGATTCCCAAAAAATCTTCCCAGTTACCTGATGTGACTAAATGATTCAACTCACCCGGCTTTTATTCGCTTATGGAATACATTTTTTTCTCGAGCACAGCAATTTTCTCACTGCATCCCGCGACATAAGTGAAAAATTTGCTTTTTTGTCCGCACACTTAAAAAATTATATTTCCTTTCGATTCTCCACTTTTCGCATTATTTCTGTGTATAGCAGATGCAAATCATTATTCAAACATTTTTTGTTACATTTTCCTCAGAAGGTCCTCAGAATTCTCGTTTTCCTTCCCAGGTACAACGGGCACTGGACAAAAAGTAAACGAAGCGCTAGGTCCAACGGATGAACATCAACACAGCGATGTACAGGCACTCAATTAGCATAGGTAGGTGACCAGTACGCACTACATCAAGCCGATCGAAAGAGTTTTTACCGACAGGAAATCAGTTGGGTTTTATTTCCTGCTGGTTTCGTCTTGTGGTCCTCACAACCTCACTATGGGGGAGTGAGTCGTAGCGGTAGGCGATTCCACAGAATTATTAGCCACAGCCTTCATCACTGAACATTGGATGCTGACCCTCACTGTTTAAGTTCACTTGTTCAGTTGAAGGCTTACGATCAAGCATCCTTGCCATTTGGTACTCCGTCGTGTCACGTTCGTTCGTCCGTGCACGATCCACAGTTAGTTGAGCAGTCATCTGGCACCGCGAATTGGTCTCGAAATATAACTCGTATGTGGATGATCAATTTCATTGTTTTGCTTCGCCTTCGGTCTGCGCCGAACGAATACTACAGAAGTTGTGGGTATTATATCTTGCGTTAGTATACTTCGTACTACTTGTGAACATCAACACCCTCAGTCTGTAAAGTAGCTTATTGAGGTATATGTGCACTCATGGTACTTTCCTCAGTCAAATATTCAAAATGCGGCACACGTAGTAACTTTTGATGCTGTACTTAGGGGTGTGTGAGAGAGGCCATTAACACTGACTTATGAAATAAACCTAAGTCTTCATACGACCAATATAATATTTTCAGAGTCTTAAAAGCAACGAACAAGCGAGATCGCCCAGGATGTCCTCAGTCAGTCTCTCAGGTTTATATCACAAACTGAAGTCAGACTGTGTCAAAATCCGACAATTAGTTTACTATAGTCATCAGGAGATGGGTTTTATGGAACATACCAAGAGACTATCCATCCATTTATCAGTGGAAAGCCTCGGAATACTAAACAACAAAAGGTCTTCACCCAGTTTGTGTTCTTCCACTGAATCCATAATAACGAGACTAGTAGAAGCTGCTCGAAACCATTGTTTACAGCATATCCTTTTTACTGAGATGACCAGACCTAAGCGGTCTTCTGCTGAAGTAAATCTCAACCATCCTGGAGCATTTAGCCATTCGTGTTCCCTAAGACTACTTGCTTTTTTCTTAACGTACTTTCAAAGTGAGCTTTTCTACATTTTTCAGAACTGTGTAGCCGAGTATCAGTCTGGAGAATCGTTATTAATGAAACCATTGGCTTATTCAGAAGTTAGATGATGCGTTTGCCTGCAATTTGCTTTGATTTCTAGTTTTTCGCCGAGTTCTCAAGGATCAAGAGGGGAGACGACCAAACATCAAAGAGGATGATAAAAATTCAGAGATTTATTCGCTGATTCATATATTTATTTCTGTGATTTAGGTCAGTAGTTATTTGAAATTCAAAGAGGCAGAAGAGTTGTAGTCATATCTCCCTGAGGCCACTTTTCTGTTCCTTCTCACATTTTACACTCTTTTGATTCATCTGTCACTAGGCTTGGATGTAATGCTATCTGCTCTCTAGGTTGGGCGTACAGTTGGAATGGTCACGAAGGGCCTTTGGATTGAGGGAAGGACGGTTACTAAATAATTACCCAAAATTCTGCCCGACAGCTTGTACTGCTGCAGAATACTAATTAAGGTTTTGAAAGATCATTTTTGAGAGCACAGCAGTGGGCAAGTGAAGCCAGAAACCTAGTTAAGCGCATGGATAAGGACCAGATAAATCATGTAGGAAACATAGTCCTTCCTTGATCTCCCGTCCCATTCTCCTGGATTCTGCAGCCACTAGCTAGATCTGAGTGACCATAGCATATTGTCTTACAGAGACAATACAATGCCGTTAGGAACTAGACAGAAGCGAAATAGAGGCCTAAACTAAAAAGAACTTGTGGACAGTCGAGATATGTAAAATTCTGTTAACACAAGTTTCCTTCTGTGACATACTTAGTTATATGCATTTTATGTCGGTTCACAGTTGCGTCAGAAGGAAATAAATGGTCAAGACGCTCATGAATTCATCGCTCAAAATGAGTTCTCGGTTTTTCTGAAAAGCCTGGGAACTACAGTACCAAAAACTACCTCAAAGTTTCACAAGCTTAAGGAGGCGATGCAGCTAGAACTATACGGGAGTCAGTTTCACATAAAAGTCACTGCCTGGAGAATAATCTTAGCGAGGATCGACTAGTGGGAAAGTCCCCAGTTTCAATTCAGAATTTCAGTTTAGTGGCATCGACAGGGAATGCGTCAATAGCAACAGGTAAATATGATTACAGCTCATTAGTAAATATTACCCCACTCATGCTCATTGTGACAGTTGGTCATTTTAATGTAAACGCCCCCTAACCAAGGTTAACTCTGTTTGGTTGATATATATTCATCTCTTTATATTCACGTAAAAGTTACCCAATCGACAGTTTGTTCCATATGTCATTGCTGTTCATCATGTTCTGTTGTTGATTAAAACAGATTCATTTTTAATCATTAACTCTATTTAACCGCACTAATTTTATACTTCAGAGATAGGTAAAGTTTCACGCTAAGTTGTTTCTGTCTTAACGACTTTAGGACTCAGATTCCGTATTTTCAATAATGATAGCAGGGACCAAGTTATCTGAAGATAAAAATTCCTTAAAATGTTCTCTGAAAGGTCTAATTATATGGGAAAGAATGTTGCGTAACTAACGAAATTTCCTGGCTTGTCAATGGACGGAGACAGTGATACTGAATACGTGTAACTCCTGGATGCAAGAGAAGATGTGATCACTGCGACATTTCCACAACTCTTCTATTTTTTGACCCGTTTACATTCGCAATAAATAGCTTCGTGCTAGAAGACCATTTTGGCCTAAAATGTATGCATTTCAGAATGACATGACGTGGGATAATAACCGAAGTGTGGAGAGAAACTATAAAATTGGTACATTTTCGATAGGAAAAATATATCGGTGTATACAGATTTGTGACCTAGTTAGAAGCAAGACACTTAAATTAACTTCTGCGTCTCTGAATATTAAAATTTTCTTTGGAAATAGTGAAGGTGAATGGAAATTTTCGTAAAAGTACACAAACTGAAAAAATCCCCTAAGTGTAGAGATAATGATATCAAACTTTAGTAACAAACCAATTGTATATGTTGACTGAGTCATGTATAGATACAGTAATTCAAGTAAATGTTCTTGACATTTATTTCAGGTTGAGCAATTCTTCCCGATTTCTTGTGTTTTGTGCATGAATTCTAGGGCAGATTACCAAAGATACTTTCAGCCTCTGTTTTGCCACAGAAATTTATGAATATACTAAAAGTGTTTCGCAGAATCTGGAACACTTTTGTAATTATGCTAATTCGTTCCTTCGTCCCTTTATCAAAGCAATCACCGATGTCCCTAAGCGCAAATACCACACGATAAAGGAGTAATCAGCTACATATATTAGCACTAATTCCTTTCAGAGTCCACTGTAATATATGGTGTGCTTGGAAATTGAAGGACGACCTCGAGTAGAGCCAGGTTTAGCGGTAAATTAAAAGGATCTACGAAGCAACGTTGTGAATTTTAGCAGTTAATATAGAGGACATTATTTTGTTCCGCTGTAGCGGTATTTATTCTTTAAGGAATAAAATTAAAGTAAGCAATGCGTGAATACTTTATGTTAAAAAACTTGAAGTTGTCACAATTCCGCTAGTAACTTGAATAAAGTACATCAGCTACTTTTGTAAAATTAGGTGTCACAGTGGACGCTGTAGTCATTCGCGTGATGTTTCACTTTGTTTTTTAGACCTCATGACGATTCCTTTAGTGTGGACCCAAGCTTACTATGATGCTGAATTAATCTCACTAATTCCTCAAGCTTACAACAATCCTAAACTTATTCTAACCTGTTCTTCGATAATGCCTTTTTATGGTAAATGTAGATTACATCTACCCACTATGTTCTGAAATAATGCTGATCGTGTTTAAAAAGAGCTGGGTGTTGAATTAAGTCTTTTCGTTCTGAAGTAACACAAGTCTGTGATTAATATTTGCTGTGAGGGCTGGAACAACGCTGATAAGCAGATCCAGTAGGTTCTGATCTACTCCTGAAAATGCCCAGATAAAGAACATGGTGCTGAACCAGCACTGAGTTCTAGTCTGTGCCGTTGAAGAAACCATTTCAGAACACATTCAGAATTTACTCACTATAGAATGTTAGAATTAAATTGTTGGTGATATGCCCCTTTTCTCTTTAAGAACGCAATTGCGTTCCTAGGACTTCACCTACACATATGTATTTCCCTAAGTGAGCAGACTAATGGTTAATTACTTCACGAATTGATCTCGTGCTCTCATCTAATCACTGGTAAGGCGTTTGCAACGTGACCATACTTCATGTACCTTTACTCGTCATGGTTCAACTTAGGTGCGGCAAACAGTATCGATCTGAAAAGTCATTGATTGACTTTCAATTCTAATGATGTTGGTTTTTATTAGTCTTATAGTATCACATTACACTTAACGTAGGTGAACTGTATTCCAGAAGCACCTAGATTCTAATGTACCGCGTTCAGATGACTGCATTTTGTGAGCATTTCCACGTTGGTAAACTCTATCAACTGGGGACTGTAATTCACGTAGCTACCAGTTTATTTAACATGTGAGTCAAACAGATGTATCTCCATGAGTACGGTCATAATAAAATTAAGTAAGGACTGACATCGGCCAACCGTCAATTTTATCGTTTCAGGAGACAGTACTCAATAAACCTGCATGGCTGCACTAGTCCTAGTAGAGTACAGTGGTTGACATGCTACATTTTTCTCACTAGCTTCATAGCTAAACTTCACCACATGTATAATTCGGCTATCATATAATATGGCAAGTGTTGGACGACATTAAGTATAGTGTTTTAGAAACTGCCGAAGAATGAAGGTCTTTTTTAGTTCACCCCCTCCAAACCCTGACCCATCCTGATTTTCTCAGATATGTTCTGCAAATGATATTTAGTCTTTGAAGCATTATGGAACGTGGAATCTTAGGCACAATGTTAGTTAGCTTACGAACCCCTTGTCAATGTGGCAGGAAGACTTGTTTCCTTTCCTATAATCTAGGATGGTCATTAACAAAAATATCCATGGTTGCTATGTCTTAGCTAGCATCCTTGAATGCCGTAGATAAGTGTGCTTAGCTGCTTTTATGTTGTTGTTGATCAAGTCCTTTGTTTCTCCTTATATCATTGCTTTATTATTATGTCACTGTGATTATGTGCGTCTTGGTGTCCATATTATCAAAATTTTTAATTAAAGTAAATTATTCAGTTAATCGGTGGCATAGCGGTCAGGACGCTCGCCGACCATACACATGGTCCGGAGTTCAATCCCCGGCCGACGCACTCTTACCTCGCTAAGCCAGGAATAATGCAGGTGAAGAGGAAAGGTTGGGCATGAAGCTAGCAACCCCATCCTGTAAAATAAACACTGCTACAGAAACTTCAAGCCTCTAGCTTGAGGCCCTCTGTTCCACTGGGAACGTGAAGGAAAAAGAATTCAGTTAATCTGGTCAATATTTCATCACCGCCTTCATTAAACACTTCCCAAGTCAAGTTATCATTTTCTGATGTTCTGCCTCACTTTAGATTAGAAATAGCTGTCGGAAAACCCTTGCCTTCATTTCATGCAGGTTGGGACTGGCTAGTGGACGTGTGTGGAGCTATAGGCTAGTTGAAATGCTCTTCCAAGCATTCTATCAATCATTCCAGCTACCACAGCTATTTTAGAGCCCGTTTAGCTTATGAGACTAACTTATTTTCAACGTAGAACTATGCACAGATGGACAGCGGTTAAGGCACAAAGGCAGAGAAAAGATCGAAACATACAGGAGGAAGTAATATGAGGTTTTAATGGATCTGAACTGTTGCAAAGAGTGAATGCATCTGCTCTAAGATTACGAGGCTGTATCTTGGTAACGAATCAGTCATTAAGTTGCTAAAGTCGATTGATTTCATATCTATTGGCACACCTTTGATGAAATTAAACAAATTGAAGACAGTAGGTATCTATAATGGATGCCACCAGTTGGCACCACTCCAGATGCAACTCTGTGTGAACTATTACATAGCTGCTTGAATTCGAGCTGAATACATGGGTTTTTGTGATGTACTTTTTCGGTACCCCCTTCACTGCTAGACATTGGTATAGGACCTCAGTTGATTGAGTCAAGCGTTGCTTTCTGCTCAAGAAATATGGCAAGCGGATGACGCCTGTATATTCCAGAATATGTCGAAGGGTGAAGACATGATCAGTACACCCTCTTTTTGACCTAAAGCCTGCTTGGTGCAGTTTCATTGATTTTTCTCGCCCACTGCAATTCACGGTCATTACAGAGACTTTATGTCAGCTCATGTTTGAGCAGTTTTCGCTCCTTGTCATATTCCAAGCACGTCGGAATCAGTCTTACGTCTAGCCGGAAATAGGTGATTATCTAGGTGGAACTGTAGAAAACAGTCACCTCTGCTGGTCCGTCATCAAGGAACTCCATAGGTGCGGTCACTTCTCTGATTAGCACAATTTCCCTACTTTAGCACTGAAATTATCTGCTAGAACTACTATATCTGAGCGTTTTGCTTCTATAGGCAAACTAGATAACTCGTTTTTTACTTCTTCTGAACTGCAGTGTGTAAGGGCATAAGCGGAGATAATGAAAAGACATTGATAGGTATCTCAATCTTTCCTTCTTCTAACGGACCTGTTCGGCGGAACAGCAGGCGTACGACTATCCGCTGGGATCCAGTGAAGTACGGATTTTTCCGCCCTAGAACCCATTGCTATTCCTACAGCTACAATTCCTCGCCAACTAGCTGTGAGGTGAATTTTGTAGATTTGGCCAGGTGGGATTAGGTGAATAACCACACTTAAGTCTTGTATGCATTTCTTCGAAGCATAACATACATCCATAACCTGGGATGCCAAAGTTCTGACTAGTGAAACCTGTTGTCCGATTTCACAAAAGATCCTGTCGTTAATTGCTCCAATATGAAGTTGGAAACGTGGTTTTAAGAGACTGTGTCGACTCTCGTCTCTCTTAATTGTCACAGAGTCAAGAGATGAGGGACCTACCTGTGTAATGGTATTAACATTTGAAAAAAAGCGAAACTATTGATGCAGATGAACGTAGGCGATGATCTGGAAAGCTCTGTGTGCTTATGGAAGTTTTGCGTGACAGCAGAGCCCAGGGAACAACCACTTGAGGCCGGTCACACATATGGTCTGTTTGAAGTGGTTTTTGGAGTTGTGTCCGTATTAATATCTTATCTCAGCCTACTGACCGCTGGAAGGTAAGTCATCTGAAGGAGGCCCTTTTTGATGTTACATCCCTATTCGTTGGCAGTATGACATTGCCCACAGACCTGCAACATAGTGTAAACGACTTGCACGACTATTTTTAGTTTAACCGTCATCGAAGTAACTTTTCTGGCATGGTAAGACCTGTAGGAACATCAGCTTCAGCCACTGCAACTTGTTGAATGATTGTGACATGCAAACCCGACCTTCACGACAAAGTAGAAACTGTCGGTCGGGATACTACCGATTATTGATCTCTTCTGTTTCCTTCGCTTTCGTTACTAACATCTCTTTGTGGTCGTTTCAAGTAATCATGACAGAGGTTGTCAAGAGACACAATTATATCACCAGTGGGGAAGTCATCTAAGTTCCCTTCATATTAAAGCTTCCACTGAAGATGTTGTCTAAAAGGAAAATGAAAGCTTCTCAGTTCAGTCACGCAGCTCAAAGAATGCAACTACCTCGGAATGAACCACTTATTGTACCCTACAGCTGATTGAGCAAATATTAAGGTCGGCCACATTTTAGTGAAATCTACCATGTTACTAAGTTCTAGATCAAAAATTCCTCTCTTTGGGAACTTGATTCATTGACATAGGTAATTTGCTACTATTCAGACATTATTGCATCATCTACTGAGTTACAGAAAAGTGATCGCCAGCTCTTCTGTGTTAATGAAAACAAAACACGTAGATCAGCGAAGAGTCTCTTTTCGGCGAATTCATCTTCTTAGCTGTACAATCGCAAATATATATGCATTGTTTTGTTTGTATGTGTACATTAAGTTTGTCAAACAAAGTTACAATTGGTTAAGGTTAATTTTAACTAAACAAGTGAAGGTTGGTAATACAGGTCAAGAAAACTAGGGTAGTAACAAAGGTGATGAGATGTCAGAAACAGTTGTAATAATAATAGTGAGTTTTACTCAGGATGCACATAGAAACAAAGTAGAAATTATGTAAGAGGTCTAAGTGGATACAAGAATTACAATTGCTTAAGGTTATTTTAACTAAACAGGTAAAGGTTGGTAATATAAGTCAAGGCAATTAAGTGCTAGGATAGTAACAAAAGTGATGAGTTGTCACAAACAGTTGTTAAAAGAGGTTATGCAATAATAATATGAATATTTTGGTGAGTGAGTTTTACTCAGGATGCACATAGAAACAAAGTAGATAATACGAAACTATGTAAGAGATGTAAGTGAATACAAGAATTATAAGCAACTAAGGAACAGGCAAAGAAACAAAGTTAAGTTATCAGAATAAAATAAAATAAAAATCAAAAAATCAAAACATTGTTACCATGAGAGTAGAAGTGGTTGAGTAATCTTCTTTTGTATGCACAGCTCCGGTTTTTCCATGTGAATGGCTAGAGCTTCAGCGATACAGAGGAGACGAAACCGTATTGCCTTTGATAGGTTGTTCTTGACTCTGTAGATTACTCTGAAGGAGGCGTTCGTTGAAATGCAATGATCAGTGCTGACCAGGTGTTCAATTATCGCACTCCTTATTGCACCAGTATTGCCTTTTCGCAACCATGCTGGATAGTGTTCTTGAATCCTCTTGGACAGGATGCGCGTCGAACGACCGATGTACCTGGCTCCACAGCAGCAGGTGAACTGGTATATGCACATAGAAGTGGCCAGATGCGGGATCTTGTCCTTGAGGCTTCTGCAGATTAGTGGGCGACTGGAGAACACTATTCTTAGCGTTGCTGCAAAGAATGTTCTTCTCAGAGATGATGTGATCCTTCTCTTGAGAATATCGCTTGCTAAATCTCCCTTGAAATCCAAGTTCATGTAGATTTTCTTTTTAGGCGCAGTCAAAGTTTCGTTTTTCCGAATTATTGGTTTCATATTTTTGTCGATAAATCTTATTGGGTAACCATTCTGGATGAATATTTCTCTCAGAATATCTAATTCTGTTTCCACAACGTCGGGACTACAGATGCGTCGGATGCGGGAAGCAAGTGATTTAATTAAATTCCGCTTTTGTTGAATAGGCACCCAGCTATAGAAGCTTGTTAGTTGACCATTCCACGTAGGTTTTCTATGGATTGATCTTCTTAGGCTCCCATCAGCTCTTCTTGTCAGTTCCACATCAAGAAACGGAATTTTTGACTCGTTTTCCATTTCAAGAGTGAATTTTATTGCTGGATGGCAATCGTTGAATGTCTTCAGCAGTAGATTGGGGTCGTTGTTGTTGTCACAAATAATGAAAATGTCATCCACGTATCTTTTGTACAGTTGCAAATTGTCGATACTTGACTTTAGTGAACCTCTCTCGAGGCTTGCCACGAAGCAGTCTGATAGTAGTGGACCCAACGGAGATCCCATTGCAATACCATCCTTTTGTCTGTAGATAGTGTCGTTGAATGTGAACTGGACGTTCAGAGTGCATCTCAATAATAATTCTTTCTTCTGTGTTAGACAAGAATTGAAATAATTCGACTTTTTCTGGCTTATAAATTCACTTCTGTAAATTAATAGCAAATAATCTCTCCTACTGGTGTATATCTCATTGTGCTTTGATTTTAAAACCTTATATATATATATGCAAATATTTACTATTTCCTTTGATGTAATGTTTACGTTACAGACTAAATTTTCTTCTGCAAGTATGCGAACAGTCTAATCCAATAATGTTATCAAGTGCCACGAAGCATTTCCACATATAGCTGTATGGATTACATTCTATTATGACATCGGTAGGTGCAACTTATCAGTATAAAAATGAGCAGCAAGTAAATTTTATGTTTTTTTTTTTTGGTGTTTTTATTACCACGATTTATCTTAGCTTTGGCATACTAATTATGACACTAAATTATTGAAGTAATTCATATCATAAGTAAGGCCTTTAGTACAAGTAGTAGTGTGGGGATGTGATACAGACTGGGTTCCAACGGAATATTATTCTCACATTCAGTACTGCATTAGCAACAGAATACTATATATGCATTTGAACATTCTATTTCATGCCAAAATGACACGTTCAGTGATTGGTTAAAGAATATAAACTGTATAGCTATAAATAGTCGTTTGATCACTTGAAAATATACCTTGGCTTCCGTGTCTTGCCTTCTGCTGTTACAATAGTGTTTGTAATTGTTAGATTGTCTAGACATAGAACACCAGGAAATGTGCTAACTTTAAAGTACTTATAAAAAGCAGTGAAATTTAGCCGGCGAAACTAGGTGTCCTCTGTTCAGTAGAATTAAAACATAAGTTCATATCTCATTTTTTTTGCCCTAGCGTAAGACTCATTAGTATTTTGATGGAGTATTATAATTCACTGATACTTATATACACACATTTTACTTTCCTTACCGACCACCTTTATGTGGATCATAGGAGAGGTATACGGTAGTGATAAAGGCTCTTAGAGGTGTAAAACATTGTTAGTGTATAATTCCCACTACTTTCAGATTGAGTAAAAGCATTTCTCAGGTGAGACTTGTAAAAATTGTATTTTTAAAAATTAACATGCCGGTCATAGTTTTTTGTTCAAAAGCCAACTATACAATAAGCTTGCATCCTTCATCAGACGTTCATACATACAGTATTAATAAAAGTACAAGATTAGTCATTGTCATATATGTTGGAATAGGTTGATAGGACTGGTGTGACACAACCAGTTACGCGTGTATAATTGATTACAAGGCAGTTAGATATACAAATATGACTCATTCATTCATATATACATTATTTATTTAATTTTATGAGAACAAACTTAGCGTCGGTGGCACAGCGGTTAAGACTCTCACTGACCATGCACATGGTCCGGGGTTCGATCCCCTGCCAACACACACCTGATATCGGTGGTCAGCCTGCTAATTTGGAATACCGATATCACATGCTGAAAATTTCATACTTGTGTAGCGGCAGAAGATAGGGGCCAGGCAACATCGTCTATTGAGGAAATCAGAGATATTTATATATTTTTATGTACATTATTATTCATTATTATTAACAGAGAAACAGCGTCTCATGATCTGTCGTTTTCTCACTGGGAGTTATTCTGTCATCTCTTTGTGGCCGTTCCTTTGAAGGTCACACCATATATCTGCTAATCGTATCCACCCACGCAAAGTCTTTGTTCTTGTTTTTCTCATGACCAAGACTTGGGACGTAAACATTGAGGTGAATTGCTGTCTACCGATTTCGGCTATCAGACAGCTCTCACCACACTTGTACTAAAATACTGTGTGTAATCAAGCTATAACAAAAAAATATGGGGGCTAAGAGATGCACCACAAAAATTCTCATAGTTTGTGCGAGGGTTAGGTTACTGTCCAGACCGAAGCAGGTGGTTGTTTTAAGGGGCCATCTCTGAGCCTTGGACTTGAAGTTTGATCCACAAGGCAGTGAAGCTACGTTCACATGGTTTCCGGTGATTAAACGAGGTTCATACGCTATTAGATCGTTTCGGATTCTGTAGCCTACGTAGGTTTGTAATCAGGGTTTTCCAGCTCTTCTTGGTATACCTGAATGTACACCAGTCCGATTGTAAGCTCTAGACTTTTGAATTCTCCCTTTAACTTTTGTGAGGAATATGCCTGGTACATGAAACCAGTGAATTGGACTTACCTGGCATAGGCTGTGAACGCGTGGCGTTATGAGAGTATTTCAAGACGGAGACCGAAGTCTACCCACCCTCAACCGTGCCAAGTCGTTTATGCGGGGTAATGTATTTATTAGGTATCTTTCTGTATGGATGTATTAACCAGTCGCTAGATAATTGTTTGTGGCAATGTTCTGTTCCGAGTCTCCTCTGCATTTAACGGCTTTTGTACATGGTTTTACTCAGTACAATTTCATGTAATAAAAGGTGCTTCACCACTATACAAACCAAAGTTAGATAAGTGTGAACTAGAAGTTCTGCAGCCGTAAATTATTGTAAGGCTTTAAAATAACTCGCCTTTATAAACCACACCGAAGTTCGGATCTATGCCTCCTCAAGATTATTATTATTTATTATTGTTCCCTTGGGTTCCTAGTGGAAAATAGGGCTTCAACTGCACGTCTCCACTTGCTTCTGTCTTCTGCTGTACTTTTCAACTGCATCCATGTTAGTCCATACTGTTTCAACTCCTCTTCACACGATCTCCTCCACGTCACCCTTGGACGTCTCACTCGCCGCTTCCACTCGAGGGCCTGACGCGCGATGTCACCCAGTGGCCTCCTCAGCGAGTGTCTAATCCATCTCCACTTTCTCCTGCATATTTGTTGGGCGATTGGTTCTTGTTTTGTTTGTTCCCATAGTTTCTTGTTGATGGATAAATGGTGGGTTTCTCAGGATAAATGAGAGTTTTTCTGTTTTTGTAAAACTGGACTGCCGTTGGATAAATAATTTCTCCTTGCGGGTTACATTTACAGCACGGTAGTGCTCAGTTTACTAGCAAATAAACGTGATAAATTAATAATCCCTACTGATACATGAATTCCATTTTATAAATTTGAGCAGGGAAAGAACAAACATTATTACAGAATAACATGGATCCATTTTATTTTGTTGCTTCTCATCAGCTGCATACAACCCATAATCTTTAATACGTAAAAGCCTGAGTAAAATTTAACATACTTTTGTCATCAACCAGCAGATTATAAGAGTGTCATGGTGAGGTAAAATAGGATGACATGGTGATTAGAATTCATAAGGTTTTATGTCGCCATGACACTCTTATAATATGAATGTTGATGACAAAAGTATATTAAATTTTACTCAGACTTTTACGTATTAATGATTATAGGTTGTATGCAGCTGATGAGAAGCAGCAAAATAAAATGGATCCATGTTATTCTGCACCAATGTCTGTTCTTTCTCTACTCAAATCCCCATTTGAGACATAAAACAAAGATTTTAGCGAAGAAAATTTTCTTACAAACGATTTCATTTTCATATCTATACAGCCGTTTGTATGTATGAATTACAATAGACAATAACAAATAGTTTTGTCAGGTATGTGTTTGTGTGCATGTGTTAAATTTATTGATTGCATTGAAAATATTAGTTTTACTGTGAAAACTATGTTGTCACTTGATGTATGCTAAGTGTTTACTAATGTTTTTTTTAAATAGAACCACATGCTTTAATGACAGTTACATAGACTTACACAAGGTGAACATAGGAATGCCTACAGCATACTTGAAAGAGCTTATACTTTGGTGTACATTGAATGTGCGATTTCTTTTTAACAATGCAATTCATTGATAAGTAGACAGGGTCCCTATGAATTCTCCACTGTGTCTTTTCCTTTTGGCTAGTATGGAGAACAGTACTGTTACACTTGCTTTCAAGGGACTGAACTTTTTTTAAAAAAAGATACGTGGATGACACGCTTATCATATGTGATGAGAACTGTGATTTGGAAAACATTCCGAAAGTATTCAGCGATCGTCATCCTGCTATTCAGTTTACGTTGGGAAAAGAATCAGATAGCAAAATATCTTCCATTGAAGAGCTACTCACAACGACAGCTGATGGGTTGCTGAAAAGGTCAATTTATAGAAAACCAACATGGACGGGACAACTGAATAATATTTACACTTTTGTTCCGATGGTCAGTAAAAGGAATTTAATCCGTTCTCTTGCGACACGTGTCCAAAGAATATGTATTGAAGATGGTGTCGATGAAGAACTTAGACAGTTGAAAGAAACATTCATAGAGGATGAGTATCCATTAGCGCTTTGTCTAGGCTAATAGCAAATTATACGGAAGAAGTAAAGAGTACAATAAGGTATCTAAGAAAGCGTTACATGTTAACTTAGAATTTAGGGGTGACATTGTGAGCGAAGTCCCTAATAATATATATAGCAGATAGCGACTACGAAGCATCTGACGCACCCTTTAACATAGTCCACAAACTTTGCCGAAAAGGACATGAGTAGTGCATTTGCCTTGTATAATGGAAGCTTTGTCAATACATAACATAAAGCCAGAAATTCGTATACAAAAACAATTTGTACTGTCTCTTTCGTTGCCTTAGTGAAACGGTAGAACACGAAGACTTGGTAAGGGAATGTTTATTTCGAAATTGGTATCTTTATACAGCCAAATTATGTACACCTTATCTATCTTCAAGGCACCATTTGCACAGATCTTCGTGTTGTGTTACTTCTAGACTTCATATTGTGTTTCTTTGTGTTCCTTTCACGTCTCCCATGTATTTCCATGATGCTGTATCATTTACCTTCTCGGAAATTAAATGTATCTCCCTGCTATTTGATGTTTTTATTGCCGATGAACGTCTCTTTGTATACTACTGATAGCACTTGCCACAGTAGTCTTAATTTTATCATATGATCGACAAATTCAGGCAGTGACCTGGGGTTCTAGTGGGAAGTCGTGACCAGTAGGGTACAGCAGTTTGAAGATGAAGCAGTAACTCATCGAAGAAGATATTGCGAAATGGTCGCGCTATGTTGTGAATTGGCAGAAGTTGGAATTCATGGGCTGGCCATTGGATCGGGTCCCAGTGGTTCAATGGTCTACGAGCTCACCTTGTAGCCAAAAGTTCCTGGGTTCAAACTCTGTCGGTGGGTGCGGACTGATGAAGAGTCCCAAACTAGGATGACTGTCCAGTACTCCCAGATTTCCCAGTGGTTCTCTAACTGATGTCGGCTCAAGATGAAATCCTCCATCCAATCAAATTTCTTTATTCCATGTTTTATTATTCGTTTTGTTTCAGTTCTAACTTTTCATTTTTATTTTATTGATGACACTTACTGATCTTATTTTTGCATCTTATTGCATTTTTTGCTTGACAAATCCAGATACTCACATTTCCGAATGTGCATAATCTTGCTTTTATCATTTATGTTACGCGTGTCTATTGAACTTTGTGTGTTGACCTTTATTTATTCATTCATTCATATGTCTAATCAGTTTGTGATGCACAATCATCGACACTATTATTATTATTATCTCACTTTAGTATTTCCATTTAGTGTTATCTTAACATTACATAACAGAAACTATTGTTATTGTCTATTGTAATTCATGTATTAATGCGAGAATTTTCTTCGCTGAAATATGTGGTAAAGGATATATGCACAATTGTGATCTTGCTTAACTGGCGAAAAATTACTGAAAGACAGCTGAAAATGACGGATAACTATCATTGATGTAAGTGTAGAAGTTCAGCACTGTGGTAGAGTGTAATCCCATATAAGATAAGTTTATGTATCACACAGTGATGCAGTATTAACAACTGGGTGATGTTTCGAACATAAATTATTGACACTCATAATCATATCAATTTAGTCACATGGTTTCACAATTTGTCTTATATTTATATTTTCTCTCTTTCTATCTCTCTCTCTCCAACTTCTCCTTGTTGTTTGTTGCCACTTTCCATATCTCCGACATAGGCGTTACTTCATTCCGATTGCACGTGTGCAGTGTTAAATCGATAAACTAAGCTTCAGTGGTTAACCACTCTCTCCATCCAATTATATTACTTTTTAATACTCTCTCACCCTTTCACACCCTACTGTGTGGTGATAACATGCAAGTGAATGCAGTGCAATGGTTGAGCTCTATTTTTTCTAGATTATATGACTTAGCAGGGTCAATCATCACTTTAGGTCTAGCAAAATTTGTATGTTCCAATAATCTAGTTGACCGCGATCTACTAGTTTGACCTATGTAATTGACCTCACTGACAGTCATTACATGGTATTTGATAAATTATATTATTTTTCTTAATTGGATCCTTAAGCCAACAAAATTTATCTCTGAGAGAGTTGGTTGTTTGGTTGGTTTAAATGCCACCCTATTTCCAGCGTCATTGAGAATTCTACGTAAGTCGTCTGACTTTTCTCCTTTATACAACAGTGCTACAGAGGCTTTGAATTCTATATTATTTTCGTCATTTTTATTACTAATCTTAGTTTTTCTATGGTTCATCATATATTTAGCTAGATCTAGAATGCATGACCAAGCTAAGTTAAATAACCTAGAAAAAAGCTCAGCCATTGCACTGCATTCACTTGCATGTTATCCCCACACAGTAGGGTGCGACAGGGTGAGAGTATTAAAAAGTAATATAATTGGATGGAGAGAGTGGTTAACCACTGAAGCTTTGTTTATCGATTCAACACCGCACACGTGCATTCGGAATGAAGTAACGCCTATGCCGGATATATGGAATGTGGCAACAAACAACAGGGAGAAGTTGGAGAGAGAGGGACAGAAAGAGAGAAAATATAAATATAAGACAAATTGTGAAATCATGTGACTAAATTGATATGATTATGAGTGTCAATAATTTATGTTCGAAACGTCATCCAGTTATTAATACTACCACACTGTGTGATATTTAAAATAAACTTGTCTAATATGTAGAAGTAACTAAATTGTAATTAAAATTCCAGACACCCAGGTACATATTTCTACTTAAAGTTAATGGTCACCTTAGTAAGGAACGTTTAAATTTATTTCTTACTTCAGAGGTAACTAAAGCTCTTGAAATGGAGTCACTAAAACAGTTAAATGATACATAAAAAGTGTAAGTGGGATCTTGCTTCTCATTGAAATAAACAATAAAATGTATTTACCAATTTGAATGTACGTGTGGCCACATACACATAGGGAGGACTCATCGATCTCTGCAAGTAAGGGCTTCAGAGCGTATTCCTAAATGGCTCTTCAGAAACCATTAGTGATGAGAGCAGAGGACCTAGCTCCTCTAGTGCGAAACATATTACAGAGACAGAACATAAAATTGATGTTAACACACCTTTTAAACCTATCTATAAAACGTGTTTGGGGCGTATCCTAAAGTTTGTGGAAGCCCTAGCTGGCAATTAGAAAGTTTAAACCACCTTTATGTGTTCAAAGCAACAATTCGTCATCACACTAAACCTTCCTTGGTGAACTTAGTTTTGATAGCAGTTAGGGCAGTTGTACTATTATCTCTGTTATTTGGTTTAGTGATCTTCATTGTTATTTTGGCCTTCAATATGTCCTTTTAACTTGACCTCAATTTATTTTCTCGCCTCCCAACTCTTAATTAATTTCACACATAAATATTCCTATGACAAGTCCCTGTGTGATCAGATTGTTCGAAATGTGTTGCTCAAATAAATTACACACGATTCAAACAAATTACGTCTTTAGTTTGGTTTGTAAGGGTTAGTTATGTTTTTACGAGTTGATCACGGATTGATATCAGTTAGAGAACCATTGAAAACCAGGGAGTATTGCACAGCTGCTGTTTCATCCTAGTTTGGGAATCATTAGCAGTACGCACCCACCGGGATTCGAACCCAGGACCTTCCGGTTACAAGGCAAGCTCGTATACTATTCAGCCACTGGGACCCGATTCAATGGCTCATGAATTCTAACTTCTACCAATTCGTGATTTAGCGCGACCCCAACTGATATCAATCCGTGATCAACTCGTAAAATTACGTCTTCTCATTGTTTTGTCTAAATAAAATGTAGGTAAGAAGTGTGTGTCAGTGAATTTTTGATTTTGAACCGATAATTTCAACTCACCACTTTTGTTACTGGAGCACTTTTTCATCTTTTTTCTCGCTTGGCTATGCCAAAATCACGTGTAAGATTTCCTGCATAAGTTGGAATTTATCTGGATATTGTTTCAGGGATTAAGAACTGAGATTTAAGGAAAACTTACATTCGGAGTACTAATCAAGAGTTCTCCAAAATCCCCCTTAAAACCATCATGCTAAGTAGGAGTCGACTCCTGTGTGTTGGTGGAGTAGTACACTAAATTACCTTTAAAAAGCCATATGCCAGTATTTTGTAGATTTGGTTTCTCGAACAGGATGGGGGGAAAAGCCAACTTATTATTCAGTTCCTTACATGGCAAGGTACAATGAAGTATGAGTGAAGTTGAAATTTGAGATAGTTTTGTTTCCTCTAACACGGTCACCATCGCGATCCGTCCACGATCTATGTTTATGTTCATTTACACACATCTGCTCTCCTTAATGTAAGACTGTTTACAAGGACAGTTATGGGCACTTCAATCGCCAATAATCTGGTGACTTAGTCATAACTTACCGCAATATTTTTGGTGCTGTGTGAGTATTCCTTTTATTACAAAGCAAGCAATTCAAATCATCAACGTTTTCTTCTTCAGAATTACTTAAAACCAGCAGAGATATGTCAGCGTTGTTGTTGGCACCCATTCAGGAGGTACACACACACACACACACTATGAACCGATTATTACCATGCACGTGGTATGGGGTTCCGGCTGATGCACTTGTAAACCTCGCTTAGCTGGTAGTAAGCCCAATAAAGAGGAAAGGTTGGGCGTGGGGTTGGCAACCTAACCCCGTAAAAGACAAAATCAGTATTACTGAAACTTGAAGCCCTGTGTCCCACTGGAAAGTATAAGAATTAATCAATAGATAGACTGTCGTTAAACATTTTTTAACTGACTTGGGGGATGTGTACACTGTACCTCTTTTTCATGATTGTAGTAAGCATTGTCTATTGGCAGAGGGTAATATCTCTTCATTATTTCTCGTCAGATAATTTAACTTTCGTGAAGACGTATCTCAATCGTATTCGTGTTGTGAATCATCCCCGTTTTTGTTGCAGTATACATATGTATTAATGTCAAAGTCATGCTTACGTCGGTCAATATTGTATTGGAAATCTTATCATCACAGGCATAATATGTTCTTTCATACGGAAAGGTAATTGAAATGAATACTGTTTTCAGCATTCTGTTATAATTTGAAAAAAAAATATACTGTACTGTACCGTGGTGACGTTTTTACTTTCCATTCAATGCAATTAAGAATGAATTTCAATTTTGTTCTCCTGCATATGTGAATTATCTTTTTTTTTCGCAGTATACATTTGCTTACTAACCACAGAAACTACGCCATCTCTGGATTAGTACACGTATTACTCGGCTGTCGACCTAAGGACGTGTGTACTGCTTTGCAGCTCGCTCCGCCCTCCTTTATGGCTGTGAACGAGATATGACCATTGAAAGTGGAAGACATGAAAAGGTTGGCTAGCTGTCTTTGATCATAAGTGCGTGCGTTCTATCTCCCGTGTTAGGTGCCATGGTATAATAGGGTGGGCAATATTAAGGTTAGGCTTCGGTCGAGTGCTAGGTAGGAAGGGGAAATCAATCGGCTAGTTTGTGAAGCTGCAGCTGCATCGTTTGAGATGGTTAGGGCTTGTGTTACGCATGCATATCTCGTCATCGCCTTCCCCAACGAGAACTGCCTGCTGACATAGGATCAGTCTAGGAAAGAGTTACCTAGTGGAATCTTCAACAGTTATTTTAAGCCAGCCGCGTAGGGAGATGTAGAATGGCTTCCTGATTGGGGTCCTCGGGATGGTAAAAACCAATGATAGCTTGAGATAATTGGTGATATGGCTCAAAATAGTTCTCATTGGCCGGCACAGATGCATTCACTCCTTGTGATTTATAATACCCAATAAAATTCTATTGTTCTTCCATATTACTATTCTTTTTCCCTCACTCATATTTCTGTTTATTATCTCTATCTCTTTTGAATCTCTCTTTACTGTCTCTTCTCTTGCTTTGTGTGGTACATGGAAGGAGTATGGCAACTCGAAGTGCTGCACATCTGTGCAAAGTTCTACATTGAAAACCAGTCAATCAGACAGCAACTCCATAGAATAGTGAATCGTAGGATAGAATGCAGTGATTATTCCTCATTATACTGGTATTCCTTTACAGAAAATGCTTTACTTTTTTGTTTTTAGATCTTGTCTTTCATAGACAGCATTACGCTAAGAGGTGATGTAATTATTTCGATCAGGTTTTTAATGTGTTATCGTCAGACAATCGATTGTAGGGCACCTTGTGTGTGGTGGTATAAGGCAGCAATAGCAATAGTAACAATGCAATTATTCTGAAATCTTGTAGAGAAGATTTTATTTTCCAGTATCGATAAACTATATTTACAACCTCTAAAGAAACTGATCGTTACTGTGTACTGCATTTCCTTTACATTGAAGTATATTTACTTTCTACAATTATAATGGTTGAGTTTGTGATATTCAGGTATATTTAAAATGAATCATTTTAGAAATTGGAAATCATGCACAGCCGTATGTAAACATATTAACCTGTATTAAAAAGCTGTGACTCTAAGCTTAATTGTCAACAAGGACTGCTTATGCTTATTACTGATATTGAGTCTTAAAACCAAATGATGAAACAGTTTTCCATTCTTAGCCTTAGCCTACATCAACTCGTGGTCAACTCCCTAGTGGAAATCGATATCCCGATAAATTCATAAAAGGCCAATGTAGCATATTGTAATGTGAAGTCATGTTAATTGACAACACAATTTGTTTTTGAATCGATGATTCGACAGAGATACTTCAAATGAAATTTTATCGTGGAGTTCAACTAGAGCTTTTATTCCTTTGGTAGTCATCCACCCAGTCATATCTCACATTCATGTGTATGCCGCTTTAATTGACTCATAACAATAAATTTGTATGAGAAGCAGGGGTAGTGAAGTCGATTTTGTAATATGAGAACATTGGACTGTTTAGCTAGGATAAAGTTAAATGTATACAGAGTTCGGGATTGTATTGACGAATTGCCAGCGCCTCCGCCATACACAAAAGCCGAAATCGGACGCCCTTTGTACCATGTGGCTTCACCTTATAGATGATCTTGAAAAACGACTCTGGTGGAGCTGCGTGGCCTGAGTTCACCAAATGCTCAAGAATTGAGCTAGTAATTGTCTTACATTGTCCCTTTGCTAACCATGCCGGATAATGTTCAGAGATGCGTTTGGAAAGCGTGCGCTTTGTGCGGCCAATATAACTAGCTCCACACGAGCAAGTGAATTTATAAATACACATTGAGGTGGTCCAAAGCGGCAGTTTATCCTTCACACATCCGTTGATCATTTGTCGGCTGTAGAAGTTGATATGTAGCTCAGCCACAAAGAAGTCTTTCCTCACTGATCTGCATAAGCGATTCTTCAGGATCTCAGCTGCGGTATCACCTTTAAATTAAACGCCCATAAATAGCAGTTTCTGCTGCACCGTCTGGGTTCTTTCAGGCTTTTGCTTTAACTTCATGTTTTTCTCGATAAATCTTGGAGGATATCCATTCTCTATGAGGACCTGTCTGAGTCGCCTCAGTTCCCCCCCGATTGTATCACCGGACCATATCCTCCTTATTCTTGAGGATAAAGAGTGGATCAAGTTTCTCTTTCTTCTCAAAGGGACCCAACTATGGAAATTTGTGTACTGACCATTCCATGTTGGTTTCCTGTAGATCGATCTTTGAAGAGAACCATCAGATCTCCTTTTTAGAAGAACATCCAAAAAATGGAATTCCGAGTTCATTTCTGATTCCGACATGAACTGGATGGCATGATGGCAACTGTTGAACTCTTTAGCTATCAATTCGATGTCGGTATTGTCGTCACATATGATGAAAGTATCATCCATGTATCTTTGGTACAAATGGAAACTATTGATAGCGGGCCCTAAATTACTATTCTCCAGGCTTGCCAAGAAGCAGTCTGCAAGTAAAGGACCCCATTGTCTTTTATTTTCTTCATGACTCAATGGGTATTTTCGGTGATTGAAGTTAAGCGTGTTAAAAGTTTCATTCTAGTACATATCACAGATACAAGACCCCTTTTTTGATGTCTATATAGCCAGCCTTTAGTATGATGTAGTGTTTCTAAAACACTGTCAGTAACAACCCTATGCAAATCTAAAGCCGTAGGAATAATATCAGCTGAGCTTTTTACTTTTCGTTATTTATTTTTTCTTTCAGATTCTTTATGAGTTAAATACTGTTTGTTTTTCTCATGCGTGTAATTTTCTTGTCAAACATATTCGCAGTTCCTTCTTATTCTAACAACCTTTCAAGTATCTGCCCTCATTTTTGTATTATACATAGGCAACGTTAAGGGTCATGTCGCTACTACTCCTCACTGTTAGTTCTCTAATAACTTCGTATGATACTATCTTAACTTGACGATAAACTACTCACTGGGCTTTGTACTATCTTCTACTTGCCGCATGTAACCTTGTATTACACATCTTGTTTATCTATCTACTAAGTAATACGTCCTTGTGTATTTAGTGCGTCGTAAGAAAGCCACTGACTGACTGAGACTTGCGCCATTTTTATCTTCATGCGATATCGAAAAGTTATCGATCACAGCGTTGTGGTTTTCTGAACGCTTTATCAAAAGTATCAAATCGCTGTGTTTCAACGCATCATGGCTCACTGGCTTATGTGCTTGACTTTCAGTCAGTGTGTCCCGGGTTCGAGTTCCACTTCAGCCTGTGTTACGGGGTGGTATCGACAGCTCTCATGTATGAAAGACCTGCTCCGAGAACTGAGTTCAGAACAAACAAACCATTTAACTTATTTATTTCTACAATATTAAGTGTAAATATTGTCATGCTATTGTTAGCGGTATGTTTCTTGTGTGATATGCATTCATTCCTGAGGTTTTCAAATTTTTTCCACTTCTGTTTTTTTTTATAAATACAAATAGATGTTTATATGTACAAACAACATCGCAATATTCATCATCCATTAGGGGATTTTTGTCGTCATTATCTTGTTGTTCAATAGTAACAAATCATAGAATGGGAAATATCTGCAATTATCTTTGTCCTCCAACTGGGAACAGATTTTTATCCACCTCTGAATTAAGAACTTCACGTCATGATTCTGATGTGAAAATTTTATGTGATAATGAAGTTGTACCGACAACATCCTCCTCCTCAGCAGTAAACGATAATTATGATGCTGCCGCTTATGATGATGATAAGCATAGGAATGAACAGCAGCCATCAGTTGCTATTCGTGATAAATCATCCGCCAGGCATATGCAAAGATCATCTACTACCGGTGTTCACAGCAGTCAACAGAGATTACTTTCACAGTCATCGGCGCCAGCAACAGCGAAAACACCGTCTTATCCATCTCAAGGTCCAAAAGTTGTAAGGGAATATGTGAATTTCCCTTTTCTCACTGATAATGAAATTGGAAATTGGATTACAAATTGTCGTTTCATGTTTATACTACGTGGACCACCTGGAGCAGGAAAATCATTTATTTCTGAATGTATACGGATACGTTTTCCTATGGCTAAGGTGAGTACTTTGTTTTTGTTCTTATTACTATAACTGTGTTGTACTTGTTCTGTAGTATTATTGTTCGAGTTCCGAGTAGAACAGGGGGCTTCAAAAACCCATCTCTTTCATTATTATTATTATTTCCTGGCTCCACGTCTGTCCACACGCTTTCATCTCCTCTTCACATGACCTCCTCCAAGTCACCCTTGGACGACCAACTCGCCGCTTCCCATTCGGGTTCCACTCGAGCGATGGCCTGTCTAGTGATGTCACTTGATGGTTTCCTCAGAGTATGACTAATCCACCTCCATTTCTTCCTGTAGATTTGTTTCAAAATCGGTTCTTGGTTGGTTCGCTCCCAGAGATACTCCCTGTTGCTGATCTTTTCTGGTCATCTGATCTTGAGTATTGAGCGAAGACAACTGTTAATGAAGGTCTATAATTTCTTTGAGGTGCTCTTTATGACGCGCAAAGTCTGATCCGTATAGTAGCACTGACTGACTTCACATTGGAGTTGAAAATCCGGATCTTATTTTTGATGCTGAGTGCTGTTGACCTCCACACAGACTTGAGAGAAATGAAAGCTTGTCTTCCTTTCCCGATCCTTGAAACGATGCTTCCTAGGTAGGTAAAGGCATCTCCATTACACTATGTTTTCTCTGCAGTCTTTTTTCAGCCAGCTCGACTATTTCCTCATTTCATTTCCCCGTCAAACAATCTCCTCCGTGTCACTGTCGTACGCTCAACTGGTCATTTCTCATTCAGGTTCTACTTGAGGGCCTGTATGGTGTATGATACCACTCAGCGGCATATGTTCGATTGATTTCAACTTCATTTTGGATATTTCTTAGACAATGGGTTCTTGGTTGGTTCGTTTCTAGAATTCATTGTTGCTTATATATATCCCTTCCGATCAGCCAATCTAATCTTCACTATCTAGCAAGCGAAGCGGGCAACTGTTGATGGAAGTCGGCAGTAGTAGCCTATTGGAAATGCTTTTCGTGACACACCAAGTCTATGAACCATATAAGAGAGGCACTAAGTTGACATTAGTCTTGAATGCTCGGATCTTTTCTCTTATGTTGAGTGCATGTTGATTTCAGATTAATGAAGATCTCTATTTCTTTTCCAATCCTTGCTGGATTTGACATCCTCATCCGTGCCACCTGTAGTTGAAACGATGCTGCCTAAATAAGTCAAATTTCTCTCATTGATGCTGATTGGTGCTTGCTGTTGTTGTTGTTGCTGTTATTGCTTAGGTTCCTTTATCACCTCTGTCTTCTCTACGTTCACTTGAAATCCTGGAATTATATTTGATTTCACTTCTAATAAATCTATTGCAATCCTTTTCGTAGCTATTGATTTCATGTCTACAAAACAGGATAAGACTATATTTTTTTCAAACTTTTTTCAGCCAAGTTTGTTTTCCTAACTAAACATTTTGCGTGAGTTACTTATCGATCGAGTTAATATCGATTAGTCTCAGCTTTGAAAGTAAAATAATAAAAGAATAAACTTGAAAGTAAGCTGGATATCGCTTATCGCATATAATGAACGTACTCGTCATTTCTAGGTACCTGGTTTAATTGAATCAAAGATGAGTCATCTATCAATTGAGTTATATTATTATTGAAGAAAATAAAAGACAATTCAGTGAAGAAGATTTTCTTTATCGACGAAATCATCTTCACAGGCTGTACAGTCGTATTTATATTTACCAAAAATGTATAGTAGTCCATTATTGAGTAATAGGTTGGGGTGTGTTTGATATAATTGGTATAATTACTTAGAAGTGGCTTAAAAAGTAAAAATGAAGGCTGCAAATTACGTAATACTCAGTGGTAGAAAGGAAGAAAGTGTTAGAAACTTGATAAGATTAAAATTGTTATTGAGTGAGAAAAAGGGTAGTTGAGTGTCAATTTAACAAGTGTGAAGAGGGTCAGAAAACATACAAAAGGAACATGTGAGAGTGACAATAGTCATTGTTCAGTTTTTTATGTTTTCACACCCTCTTCACACTTCTTACATTGACACTCAACTATCTTTATTCTCGCTCAATAACAATTTTAACCTTGTATAGTTGGTTTGTAAGGGTCAGTTTTGCTTTTTCGAGTTGATCACGGATTGATATCAGTTAGAGAACCATTGAAAACCAGCAGGGAGTACTGGACAGCTGTTTCATCCTAGTTTGGAAATCATCCGCAGTATGCGCCCAATGGCGATGGTTCTCTAACTGATATCAATTTTAACCTTATCAAATTTCTGACACTTTCTTCCTTTGTACCCATTGAGTATTACGTAATTTGTAGCTTTCATTTTTACTTTTAAAGCCACTTCGGAGTAATCATATCAATTGTGTCAAACACACCCCAACCCATTCCTCAAAAATGGACTACTATACATTTTTGGTAAATATAAATACGATTGTACAGCCTGTGAAGATGATTTCGTTGATAAAGAAAATTTTCTTCGCTGAACTGTCTTTTATTTTCTTCATGACTCAATAGGTATATTATGATTATCATTATTTTTATTCCTATTTCAAAAGCTGTAAATGATGTATGTGAAAGTTATTTCAGTATTTCGCTTTCGTCAACTAATTGCTGTGCATAGTAAAGAGAGAAAGAGAGAATTACATATTAAGAGTAAATTGGCTTTTATTCTGAGTATAGGAAAAGAATCCCGATATCGATAATTACGTTTGAAGTAATCGTATGTGAATGCTGCATAATGTTGAAACAAAATTATTACTGGTATTAATTAACAACTAATTCAGCAACCTGTAAAGTGACAGAACAAAGTTCCGATATCACTCCTAACTAAACTCATTTTAGAAAAGACTGGAAACTAAGCTGTGTTGAACAAATATTCTGTTATTGTGCTTTTTTGCACTACAAAAGGTGTAACGTATTTTCTGAAATTAAGAATGAAATCTTTTACGATTTTTGAAAGCATTCCTTTAAAATCAAATTTTATTGACTGGAGGTATGTGAGACCTATCTACCCACCCGTCCATTTTCCTCATCATGTCTTGTTCGTGGATGTATGCAGTAACCAGCTGTTACTCTTGGCTGTGCACAGTCGTGTAGGTTGCTTTGTTAGGGCTCGTTAGACCATCAAAAACTTTGTGTTAAAGACCACAGACGGTAGGGATAGGATACCTATTGCAGTAGGTTTTGTGGCCCTACTACACTGTCATCTTTACTGTACAGTTTCATTTCTTCATTTATGTGATTCTTTCTGCTTTCTGTATTTTAAAAACCAAAAGGATTGAGCGAAGACATATTTACTTTTTAATTAGATCCCTATCTATGTGTCAACTTTAAAATATACATATAGCATTTTTAATTCAATACAAGACATTTTACCAGTCTAGTGGTAATTAGTTTGTGAACAATATTAGTCACTATCAGTCAACATGTCAGGGAGGTGATGGATAGTTAACTAAGAAAATTAATACACCAAATGAAGGGTAGAAATAATTGCAAAACCCAAATAAATGGATTGCGTCATGTGTAATTTTTGAAAATAAGGCGTAATTAAGAAGTAATTGAGTGTTCAAACTGAATACGTAATAAACAATTAAAGATGAGATATTCAGAATAGTGAAATAATTAGGACAATGATAATTTGTCAGTTTTTTACATTCATGTAACTATGGACAAGGTAAAGAAAATGGCTGCACGAATTCGTTCTGAACAGACAGGTCAGGCTTTCCCATGTGGATTTCAATGGCCCCAACTGAATGTAGAAGACGAAGTCATAAGACAAAATTAATATTGGTGGGGATGCTATAAATAACTTTAACTGCTCTGTTAATATCAATTTTATGTTCACTATCTACAGAGTGTGCGTTTAAACAGAGCTACGAATAGTTGTTGTTTATCCCTTACCTAACCGTGCAGGATGTTGTTTAAAAATACAACAATGAACCTGTCAAAGTGTATGCCCAATGCAACTAGCTCCTCACGAGCAGTCAAACTGGCAGTTAATCCTTATTTATCGAACGTGAAATTGGAGTGATTACAAAGAGACAGCGTATCTCTGCTGCACTGAATGTTATTTTTACTGCATTCTTCAGGCTCTGTGTTACTATTTCGCTGATGTTATTATTAAGAAACTGCAGTTTTATGAACTAGGACTTCTTTGGAGCTATTGTCATACTGACTTACCCTAGTGCTGGATTCATATTTTCATCAATGAATTTATCTAGGTAACCATTTTTGTCGAGTAATTCTCTGGAGAGTCGTTTCGTTTCTACTTCAAAGATACAAAACCCGAGAAATGAGTATACCGATCTGTCACTGTGGGTTTTCTATGTACAGTCCTTCTTAATGTACCGTTCTCTTTGCTGGTCACAAGGATGTCTAGCAGTGAAATACTGTCATTCCTTTCTCCATAGTAAAGTTTATTACTGGATGCACATCGCTGAACTTGTCGAGGATGTTCGTTGCTTTATTCTCGTTTTTTCTATAATGAAGAATGTATCATTCATATATTGACAGTAGAATTCCACTTCACTAATTACCCCTCTCAGTTGTCCATTCCCTAACTTTGCGATTGGAAAATCAGCTAGGACTGGTCGTAATGGTGAACCCATAGTCACACCAGGATACCTTGTAAAGTCTTTATATTAGTTGGTTGAAGGTTATCAACAGGAAGCCAAGGACCTAGGTTGCGTGCTTTTTGGCACTCCTCAGCATACATATCTGCAGCCTTGAGGTGACTCATGTCGCTTCTTAGACTCAAACCCTCGTCATCCAGTGATGCAGTCAGAAACGTTATTACTGAGCTATTGAGACTCACGATTGACCTCCCATAGGACTGTAGCGATTATATTTACTAGTCACTAGAGAGTAACGGATGTTACATTCCTTCTAATTGATAGGATTCAGTTAGTATCACCAACAGCAACAACGACCAGAAACACGACCAGTCAACCTGTCTGTTATTTATTTTATCGTTGTTGTATGCTGTGATCAGTCCTTCTATTGGGTGATTAAAAAATTCGTCTGCAAATCTATCCTTGTAATCGTAATCTTGTCTATGTTATTATTATTATTTTTTTGTGTGTCTATAATTCTATTCCTTCACTAGGTTTGCTCTGCAGATGATTTCTGGTATCTAGAATCCAATGGCTTTGAATATCAATTTGATATTAATCGATTAAATGAAGCTCATGAATGGTGTCAAAATAATGCATATACTGCTGCTGCCTCTGGTCATAGTCCAATTATTATTGATAATACAAATGTTAGAAATTGGGAAACACGTTATTATACAGATTTAGCACGTCGTTTTAACTATTTTGTAATAATGGTTATTCCACAGACACCATGGCGTTTTGATGCAGAGACATTGGCGATGCGTAATGTACATTTTGTGAGTTTAGAAACAGTTGAAGCTAAAGTTCGTAATTTTGAACATATTTATCCATTGTATTATGGTTGGTTTTGGTCTGGACCACCGAGTGAATTAAGCCAAAAGCAGAATACATCATTAAATGCATCATCAACTAAAAGATGGAAAAGTTCCACGAATTCGAATCCATGCATTGAAGTAGATCGTTTTCTTCATTGGGCTTGGAATGCACTGAATACTATAATGGAGCTTCCTGGTATACGTGAAGAGTTTGCTAATGAATTTGGCTTACCAGAAGGTTAGTTGGTTATATTTCTAATGACGTATACATTGTGTACTTTTTATTTGAAATATTTGTTCTCTTTGAATTGTATAATTCACGTGTATAAAACTTCAGGTGTTTCAAAGGTAATAAATACTTGTATTAAATTGTATGATATAATTAATATAATATGCTTTCTTATATATTTTATTTAATGTACTCTATCCTTACTGTAATAATTGATAAAGTTTTCTGGATAACCGTTAGCTAATAAAACTGAATGTATATGTCGAAGCTCATCCATCAATGTGACGCTCGTGCATATTTTTCGGGCCCTTGAGAAGAAACATTTCACTAAGGAACATTTATACTGGATAGGAACAAAACTGGTGAAGTGAAGATATTGTCCACTCCATGTCTGTTTACGAAAAATAGATCGTTGAATCGTTCCATCATTTCTCTTGGTCATTGTAATATCCAGGAAACCGAGTTTGTTATTCGATTCTAGTTCGGAAGTCACTCAGATATTTGGATGAATATGATTGAATAGACTAATAAAGTTTTGTTGTTATTAGATGGTTGGAAGTAATCTGCAGGAATCCTTGGATCTTGACTTCGTACTTGTCGGTAGTCGTCAACATGGTGTATCTACAACCTTGAAGGAACTCATGTCCCTTCTGAGATTCGAACCCGCGTCGCCCAGTGAGTACTGCGGTCAGAGACGTTACCACTGAGCTATTCGGGCTCGCGATTGACCTCCTTCCTATAGGACTCTATTGGATACTTTGATTAAACACTAACTGATGTCAGGCCCATTACCTCTAATTATGTAGAAACAAAAATTTAGAGCGTATCGTGATGGCTGGCTACTCCTAGTCTGATGGCCACATTGCGAACTCAACTGATAGAATTTATACAATCATGTAACGATGGCCAAGGTAAGGAAAATGGCTGTACAAATTTCTTCTAAACAAACAGGTTTGGCTTCTTCAGGTGGATTCCTATTGCTTCAGCGCTATGTTGAAGACGAACTCGTAAAGCAAAATTAAGATTAGTAGGAATGCGATAAATAATTTAAATGCAGTGTTAACGTCGTCAACCTTATGCTTACTATCTACAAGGTGTGCTAAAATAGAGCTACGAATAGATCTTCTTTGTCCCTTGCTTAACCATGCAGGATGGTGTTCGGAAATACGATGATGAACCTGCCTAATTGTACACCCGATGTAGCTGGCTCAGCAGCTGCAGTCAAACTGGGAGATACACATAGAGGAGGCAAATTTAGGTAGTTTATCCTTATTCCTTGAACGTAGAATAGGAGTGGTTCTGTTTTCTAAATGGGGATTCTTTCTATATTGATAGAATTTAGTCTACACCAAATAAAGAGCTGCGTATAACGTATAACTCTAGTTGGTGTCCAAATAAAGTAACCAAACGTTTCATGAATTTTTTGTAGCATTTATTTGAAGTCTAAACTACTTCAGTAAACAGTTGTTTGTTCAATATGCATTGCACCTGTCCTAGTCATTTAATCCGGTGTAGATGTATAAATAAGCTAAATGATCAGAAGAGTGGGTTCATTTTTACAAAACTGTAGTGTTGTTTTATTGTCATTCATTATCCAACTTGAACAGATGAAAAAGTAGTGCGTTTTATGAATGCAGCATTCGTGGAAGTCAGTATCTAGCAGGTGTAAACGTTAAATGTATAACAAAAAAAGGTAATCATTTTTCCCCAATAGTTAAATTACTCTCTATCAAATTGTTCCTTTCTATTCCTCCTAGATGCAACTGTACATAATGTGTTAAGTCATTGGGAATCTGCTACAATACCTGATTTCGGTACAGGTTTAAAGACAAGCAAATCATCTAGTATCCCGCATATAACAGCTAAATACTCGCGATTTGGACGAGCATCCGGTGCAGAACGATATGCTCTACGTAGATCTGTGACTGAAAACCTCCTGGGGAAATTATTTACAATACAAATTACTGGCTTAGTTATCAGTACGCGTACAATAGGCGCCAGGGTACGACTACCGAATGATGAAGTTGTGATTCGACATCTTTGGGCTTCCGATGATCAAGAAGTTGTCTTCCCAGGTTTGTACTTCTTTTTTTTCTCTCTCTACAATCACTTTGTCTTTCGTATTTAAATAAATATTATTAAACTGGTTGAAATTACTCACTACCTAATTATCTATCTATATGTATGTATATCTGCTCGAGTTGAGTCATATTACCATAGGTTATAGAGCGTCTTACCTACCTTTAATCTATCGATGTTCTGGAGAACTTTGTAAAAGGTACATGTCGATACTTTTTTTCCTTCACATTCCCAGTGGAACATAGGGCCTCAAGCTAGTGGCTTGAAGTTTCTGTAGCAGTGTTTAATTTTTACAGGATGGGGTTGCTAGCCTCATGCTCAACCTTTCCTCTTTACCAGCATTATTTCTGGCTTAGCGAGGTAAAGGAGTGCGTCGGCCGGGGATCGAACCCCGGACCATGTGTATGGTCGGCGAGCGTCCTAACCGCTATGCCACCGACGCACTTGTCGATACTTAGACATAGGGTAAGGTTGCAACAGACGTTCTTTATTGTCCAATTAATAGGTAAATCAAAAGAACATTCCCTTCAAATAAACTGGTACTCAGTTTTTCAACTAAACCAGTATTCACACAGCGAGTCAAGGATAAATTACTAACGATGGCCTGATCAATATGCATTTATGAGTTCAACTGCTCCCGTGAAGCTAGTTACATAGGCCGTACTCAGAGAGTTTTATCCATGCATGCATGTGAACCTGTATGTTTGAGTAAAGGGGAGACTGAATGCTTAAATAGTGCGGTCTTGGCTCACTTGGTAGGTAGTGGATAGAGCAGGTGATCTTGTTTATCTAGCGTGTTCCTGATAATTTATCTAAAAGAGTTTGACTGTGTCTTCTATCAGTAGCTGAAGTGGTAACAATCGATACTAGAAGACCTGTTCTCTGTGTATATACAAGAAGTATGTCCAACTGCTTTGTTTACTTTGGCCTACAATAAGGTCAACAAATCCTCTGTAAAAATTGCCACTTTAATTCCTGATCCCTTTCTTTTTCCTCTTCTATTCCACACATTTCATTGACAAAACGATTATTTCAGACCTTTTACGACTTCATGATCTTTCTTATTATGTCTATGACCTTAGGCTTACGTAATGCTTTTTAAACTTGTTATTGTATTTACACAATCCTTATTATAAAAGTTTTTGTATTTCCCAGTGAATGAATGAATGAGAAACAAAACAACATTGTTTTACTGACGTTTTGCTATTTAATGCTGCTATAATAGCTTTATCAAAGTAGTGATATTAAACCAGAATTTACAAAATCTCAGCTTTTGTATAACAACTTAATCATCGTTCCTCAGTATTTGATAAGCGTATAAAATTATAAAAGCAGCATGTGTTTACTTGGGGAAATTGCTAATCCCACATCCGTGTTGATTTTGTCATTTCATGGGAGACCGGGTGTTGTGATCAGGTTGAATTCTGTTTTAGTCCATCATTCCTATTTCAAACAGTTTGGATTCCATTTGATATGAAGTGCTTCTGATAATGTTAGACGTTCTTTGTGGTTTCTGAAATGCCTTTTCTGGATTATTTCAATATTGTCGAAATCAATTTTGTGACCTGATTCTATAGCGTGTAGACGACCTACTACGGGTGATGATTTTTCAAGCTTTTCTAGTTCACTAACTGAATTTCACGGATGCTGCTCTATAGTGTTCATTTATTCTGATTTTGATTTCTTTCTGGTGATGTCTGTCCGATGTATATCGCATCACATTACAAGCATATTGAATTTTCTTTCTACACCAGGGGCTGTTCATTCCACTTTATTAAATTCATTATCTACCTGATAATCGTTCACTAGTAGTACTTTTTAGTTCATCACACCACAATATCGTTATCGTATGATTACTATTGTTATATATATCACCCTGGAACGTACGTCTAATCTATCCTATTTATTAGTGTAATTCAGTGTAGTAGTCATACTGTCTCTCACACCACTGACTTCACTCACCCTTGAGACTTGTATATATAAATATATTTTTGGTTATATATAAACACACATCACTGAATTATTTCATTTCATTTCATTATCTTATTGACCGTACAAATTTAAATGATAATCAAGAATTCCATTGTGTGGCTAAGTTAAACTTTAAATACCACTAGCTACCAATGGAGTGTGACCGCACCAGTGACCTTGAAACGCGCACTCAACAAGTTAGGGAAACCTGGCAAATATTGTTGTCATCATCAATAAAATATCCTCATCGACGTGTTATGATATTAAATGGGATTTTTGGCAAGTTTCGGCTTAGGTTTGGGAAAGATTAAGTTACTCTTTAAGCCAAGGACTAGTTAGGGTGGGTTCGAGTTAGATTACAGTTAGTTTAGGCATATTTTCACGTTATGGTTAGGTTCAGGAATGATTAGGGTTATTGTTAGGGTTAGAAGACCTGAATAATTACATGCATAGAATGTCGTTAAATTACTCTGTTGATATAAGAATAGAACTTGTGCACTTTGGCGGAGTATAAATCTGTTGTGGGTAAAATTTACTTTGATAAAGTCTCACAGTGTTATACAGTAATATTTACTGATGACCATATTTCAAGCACAGTTTATTGCCCAGTAAATATTACTATATTACACTATTAGACTTTATCAAAATAAACTTTGCCCATAATGGAATTATACTCTTTTGATGCTCCAACCTAAAACTGAGAGCTATTTTTATCACATGTGAGAGCAAGGTATCCTCTGTAACACTTTCCTGCAGTTTTTATGAACCTTTTTCATAAATATATGTATTCCATACACAAAAATGCCTCCTTCATGTGATTGGTGCGTTCGAGGTCATTCGCTGATTGGTAGTTAGTGGTGCTTAAAGTTTAACTTTGCCCATTGTGTACTTGTTCCACAATACATTCTCTGATACACTTCTTATTGGCCTTTACTAGCTACACAGTTGTTGTAACGGAGTGTTAAGTGTTTTGTTGTTGTTGTTGTTGCCTGTGCTGACTACATTGCACCTCCAGCTGCGACACTGTAGCCAACTGACCACTTAGAAATATTTCCCCCACACTGAGTAGACACACAGTAGAAGTCAGGTTTAACTGAGACAACTGCTACAATGGATTTATAATTGTAGAGGCTGGAGAAGAATTTATTTAGACCACAATTGTTCACTTTAATTGATTCTTGTAGTGATTAAATTGTGGGGATATGTTCAAATTATTAGTGTTTTATTAGTTATGCCTACCTCCTCTTAATATGTAACAGAAACAACGATTGCAGCTCTGGGTGACGCGATTTCAAATCTCAGGTGTCACATGAGTTGCTTCAAGGTTGCAGGTACGCCTTGCTGACGAGTGCCAACCAGCACAAAACCTAGGTCCAAGGCTTCCAGTTGATTACTTCCAACCATCTAACAGTATACACAATTGTCTCTCTTTGATATCTTCTTTATCATGCCAATATAACATTGTTATCCTTTATCACGTTTCTTTTTTTCCTTATAGATAACTGTGGTATAATGCCTATGAATCGTCCAACTGGTTGTCGTGCCCATGTTACATTGGCTTTAGCTCCTGGAGTATCCCCGGCGGAAACTGGACGTGATCTTCTACGTGTTGTAGATATGGAGTTGAATAATCGACCAGGTGATCATGTAGCTATCATGAAAAATGGTTCTATTCGTCGCCTTATCATACCTAAACTACAATTGAACAGCTCACCTGATCATCAATTCACTCAGACAACAATGGTGGGCAATTCAAATAATCATTATCCGCATGATGGTAATTATTGTTATGCGAGTAATGGTGTGCCACAGAACTATGTACCAGATTATGAAACAATTTATGTATATGACTTAGACTTTCCACAGCATTATCGTGTAGCTTTTGCTGCTTCATACTGAACTATGTCAGTGTTGTTTTTGCCTTCACGAATGGAAGAATGCACATTAGCTCATTACTACTTCTATTAGTCGGTGATTTTATCGTAAACACGAAGATTTCTTCATTCCTACTATTATTACTACTACTGTTATTATTATTATAATTATCCCTCAAGCAGATTGTTGATAGTTGGTGTATTTATTTACTTATTTTTTGCACTATATATATATATATATATATATATATATATACTCATATGCATATATATATTTACTATCTTGTCATTCCACTTTATTTTTTACATTTTTGGAGTTTTTTTTTGTTAGTTCGTTCGCTTCCTTTCTTTCTTTCTAATTTCATATAATTCTTGGGTTTTCTTTTTCTACCTCACCTTGTACATGCATTTAGGCAATACATTTGGAAGTACTTCTATATATATAACTTCGTATCTGTAGGGGGTAAAGATTACCTTATGGGAATTATATGAAGATATATGTGTTGGTGTATATTACGTCAGTAAGTTGTTTTACAATTTCAACAATGCCTTAATTTTTATTCTCTTTGGTTCTGAGTGGAACATCATCTCCATTTCATCCTGTTCTCTGCCCGTCATTTTCCAGTGGCTGAACGATTCACCATAGGCTTTCATTTCTCACCCTCATTTAATCGCCTCCATGTCACCTTATAGGACCCACGTCCAACTCGTTTTCTTTTATTTGAATTCCAGTGGAGGGCGTTGGCGCGCGATTTTATTCAGTGGTCTCCTCAGTGTGTGTTCAATAAGCATCTTCATATCCGTCTGCATATTTGTTGGATAGTAGATTGTTGATTGGTCCACCTGTTGTTGTCAGAGTTTCTTGTCTGCTATCCTCCCGGCTGGCCATCTGATCTTCAGTATTGATCGAATCCGGCAACTGTTGATGAAGCTGTTAAGCAATTTGTTGAAGATGCTTTCCGTGACGCGCTAAACCTATCTCCCGTGTTAGACGGGATAAATATTGCCTCAGCAATATTGAGCTGAGGCATTGGTCGAGTGAGTGCCAGGTAAGGAGGGGAAATCAATCGACGAGGTTGTGAAGCAGCAGCTGCATCGATTGAGATGGTTAGGACATGTGTTGTGCATGCATGCCTAGTCATCACCTTCCTCGACAATGGGCGATGTTAGCTGACAAAGGATGGATCAGGTTGGTAAAGAGCTAGTGGTGGTCAAACGAAAACATGACTTCATCAGTCAATGAAATCCACAACAGTTAGTTTAAGCCAGCCACATAAGGAGGTGTAGACTGACTTCCTGGTTGGGGTCCTCAGGATGGTAAAAACCAATGAAGGCTGGAGACAATTGGTGATATGATATTCACTCTTTGTGACTTATAATACCCAATAAAATTCTATTGTTCTTCCATATTACTATTCTTTTTCCCTCACTCATTTCTGTTAATTATCTTTCTCTCTTTACTGAATTCTCTTGCATTGTGTTTTACATGGAGGCAGTGTGGCAACTTGAACTGCTGCATATCTGTGCAAAGTTCTACGTTGAAACCAGTCAATCAGTCAAGCCTATAAATCATATAGAAACATCATCTTGACATTAATTTTGAAGGTCTTTTCCTTATGCTGAGTGCATTCTGATTTCAAATTAAATGAAGATGTGTCCTCCTTTTTCGATCCTTGTTGACTTCGACATCCTCATCTGTGACGTGTGTGTGTGTGTGTGTGTGATTGAAACGATGTTGCCTAGATAAGTGGAATAGGTGACTTTCTTTAGATTTCTCTTGCTGCTGATGATTGGGTATCTTCATCACTTCCACCTTTTCTACTTTCTCTCGAAGTCTTGTTAATTTTGCTGCTCCTTCTCCTAACTTGTTGATTTTTGCCTGCAGATCTTCGGGTTCATGTGACATTATGTGTGAATCACCTGCAGAGTCCTATCTTTCCGTCTTTTCACTTCCCACATACATAATTATAACTTGAATAGTAAACAATTTCACGTCTGTTTCTTGGTACTGAATGAATTTTACAATTTAGTCATTTAACTTGGAGGACTACTGTTGTAATTATTGGTTTTAATAGACTGGAGTCAGCTGTTAGAAAAACCAATGCTCAGACGGTGCATTCCTCCTCTCCTGGAAATGCAAACATTTGCCATTCATTATCAAAGTTATAGCAGTATGGTTACAGGATTTCATCATGAGCTGACATTGATTAGAGAACCATTGGAGAACCTGGGAGTACTGGACAGTTGTTTCGTCCCAGTTTGGGACTCTTCATCAGTACGCATCCACCAGGGTTCGAACCCAGGACCTTCTGGTTACAAGGTTAGCGAGCTCGTATACCATTAAGCCACTGGGACCCGATCCAATGGCCAACCCATGAATTCTAACCTCTGCCAATTCACGATATAGCGCAACCGCTAGCCAATGTCTTCGGCGAGTATTTGTCCTTACACCCGACCTGCTGCACCCTACTGGTCACGACTTCCCACTGGAACCCCAGGTAACTACCTACCTGAATAGGGCCAGTCGCCAGTGAGCATCTCATTGATATTCAAGTATTGGTTTGCAGTATTTCAGCTTAATATGCAAATCACTGGAGTATCATATAAAAGTAGAAACAGGAATTCTCGTCAATTACTTCTGATCCACCTTACACATAGATCCTTATGAATTATTCATCCATCAAATAGTGACCAATGTATCCGTCTACTCTGTCTGTCTGTGTGCTAATCGAAACCTCTCAGTTCGGTGTGCAGCGTAGTCACTGGGCTACATGCCACAACAGTGATAAGCTGAGACCTGAATAGCTGAAAGGTAAATTTTTCTACACTATGTCTTCTGCGACATGTGTTTGAATCCCAGATAGTCAAGGACACACATACGCCTCACTGATAAGACATTTTTGTTAACTGATGTTGAGAAGTGACCCATTAGCTTAAGCACTTTATTTTCAGCCAGTGAACACGCAGCGTTCAAATGCTACTTCAACCTCGTTAATTGGATAGGATTATTAGTCTACACACACAACAATAAGTGTGACTCATAGTAACTTCGTATATGAATAATAATAACAACTGCCAAGTTAGTTCCAATAATCGAACTACGGTTGATACTCTATAGTCATTCTGCTGTCATTAGTTTTGTTCAGCGAAGAAATATTTCCTTTCAACGACTTCATTTCCGAGCTGTACAGTCATTCGTATTTATATTATGGAAAAAAAGGCGCTAACTAGCACTAAAAACTTACTCTGTCAACAATATACGTATGATGTCATAAATAAAGATAATTAGCGTAATGTTCTGGGGGACAGATTTAAAATGGGTTGGTCAAAAAATTTCAAAAGTACACGAAGTGCTGTCAAAAGTTAAAAGTGCGACGATAATATCAATAAAGAGGGTGAAGATGAAGTGAAATTAATTCAAGCGAAAAGAAATATGTATGTAAAAGAACATAACTATGACCAAGGTGCGAAGAAAGGAGTTTAACAGGACATTTTTGAATACATAGTTAAGATTTATATCCACGTGTTGCTAGAGCTTGTGTGATACATAAGTGAAAAAAACGTAAACTTTTAGAGTGACTGAATTTCGTCCTGTAGGTATAACTTCAAAGCATAAATTGCATAGGGCTGAACGAGCTGACTCAATAAGGTGTTCACAAATGGAAGACTTCGTCATCCTATACAAGGCTTTCAACTACCGAACCGGGTAGTGGTGTTCAGCTAAGCGCGTTTCCAGAGAACACGCTTACAATGTTCAGTGTGATCAGCTCCACACTAGCCTGTGAGACAGCAGGTGCACATAGTTTATCCTTGACGCATTGGCGAATCATACTTCGTGTAAGTCAGAGGCATAAAAATAGTGTTTAATACACTTGGATAGACGACTTCAGCAATGGTGTCTGCCACTTTCGAATACCAAACTCATAAACAATATCTTCTTTGATACTATGATATGGCTAGGAGTGGTTTCTATCTTCATATTTTCTTCAATAAATCTATTATTTGAGAGTGTTGTACGAAGGTTTTCCAGTTCTTTACCAATCATATCTATAAAGCAAATTTTCAGAATTCTGGAACATAGAGAATGAGTGAGATTTCTCTTCTAGGAAACCAATTACTTGAATGACTTTGAACTTGTTTCCAGTTAGTTTCGACTAAGTATAACGCTCACGATTGATGTGTGTGGCTATCAATCCTGGTAGACCTGAGCGCTGACCACACTATCTGCTGACTCTTTAGCCTGGCCCACCTAACCTGATGACCAGGCGGCTCTTAACACCGCCCCAACTAACGAAAGCAGAATATAACACTTATGGCTGCTGAAAGATGTATCTAATGGCGATGACTTGAAGAGAGTGTATAAGTAGATAATCACACCACAACGAAGCTGCCGAGGTCTTATCCTTTGGAAATTGTATTGAAAACCATGTGTTTCAGTGCGCATGGATAGGCATATTGGTCGTTGATGGTGAAACGGCTGAGGTTCATTTGAGTTGACGAACTTCTTTGATCGCCTACACTCTTTCTACCTGGAAGCACCTAGTTGTCGAAGTTAGTGTACTACCCTGTAAAGGTTGGCTTTCGGTAGGTTGACCTCTTCATCAATATGTCATCTTCTCTTCCGTCGAGCATAACATTTTAGAAGTGAAGCGTGGAATTTGACTCCACTTCTATAGTGAAAAGCATATATGGGGATGACAGTCAGCAGCTTTTCTGAGGAGTTTAGCACAGTTGAACAGTTATCATCGCAATGCTTTGGTGGAGGTATGTAGATGACACATTCACTGTACTTAGAACACAGGATATAGATAGATTTTTCGAACACATTAACCCAAAGGTGGAGGCAATTCAATTCACTTATGAATTGGAAAGTCAGGAAGGGGAGCTTCCAATGTTAGATTGCAACGTAAAAAGGAAAGAAGATGGGAAGTTAAACACTAGTGTTTACAGGAAACCCACATATTCAAACAGATATTTGGACTTCCAATCATCCCATCCTATGTCAGTAAAAATAGGATTGGTGAAATGTTTAAGTGACAGAGCACAAAAACTAAGTAGTACCAAGGAAAATCTAAGACAGGAAGTGAGACATATAAGAAAAGCCTTGAAACTTAATAATTACCCTGATAAATTAGTCAGGAAATATGTAGGGAAATGTAAAAATAAATAATAAATAATGGTAGTAGTGATAGTGATAATAGTAATAACAATAATATTAATGACATGCATGTCAAACATGCGCAAGATAGTGCAACACCAACAATAAGGAATCTAAATCATCAGTAGTCATTCCATACAAGGAAGGAACCTCGGAAACCTTACGCAGAATTCTTAACAAGGCAGGAATAAAAGTGGCTGGCATTCAAACCCACAAACTCAATTAGAAACAAGCTTTGTCGGTTAAAGGATCCTGTGGAGCCCTTAAAACAAAACAATTTAGTTTATCTAATACCCTGCTGGAATGATTGTCAGTTCAAATACACAGGTCAAAGTAGTAGAACAGGGG